TGCAACTCTTCCGAGTATTTTTTTGCTCTTTCGGATATTTCATGACACTTTGAAGCTACTGTGGTGAACGTTCTAACTCATCATTCTAACAATATGCACAAGGCAGACATGTTTTGGTAATATCAAGGTTGTAGCTACTGGCACCGCGGCAAATGCTAACATGCTAATATAGCTAATAAGTCTCCATTCCTCCACTGTATGTTACTTACATTCTGTAACGTCTTTGTTCATGCTGCCTCTACCATCAACAATAAAACATGTTTTCTGTCTGAATTAAAGACACGATCCTAGACTGTCGTTTTCTTCACTTTAGATTCTAAGCCACTATCTAGTGTTGCAATCAAGCTTTTGCACTGCTAAACAAATGAAGGTTTGGAAAAACATGGATGCTGAAACTTTTCCGTCTGTGGTTTAAGAAACTTAGAGTTAAGGTCCTGAAGGACAAATCCTGCATCGTAAAGAGCCGTGTAAGTAACGATCGGTGTGAACTTGTCATTCTCAACAAAACAATGCGTCTGTGGCTGTGTTCTTTTCAGGTCAAACATTCACAGTGTTTATTTAAACACCAACTCATACCTGACAATTAAATAAAGATGGGGATGTAATAACTGTGCATTGTGACTGCACGGCTGGGTAAATAAATAATACTTTGAGGTAAAAGCGTTTGCTAGTGAAATGTTAGCGAGCCACTTTTCCTGCGTTTTTTTGTAAAGTCCTTAGTGCGAGGCTCTTTATTAATCTCTTCACAAGGAATCCTAAAGTATCCATTAAAGGTTTTGCGATTCGATCGGTTAGAAAACTTAAAACAACACATACAAAAAGCTTATTCAGACACGCTGCTCTAGTGAACAACTAGCTCGGCTGACCACCACTTCGTGATACGCATATGTAATGAGGCGGACGTGACGTCAATTGCAAGCAAGTGCGAAGGCTGGAGACGATTCATGCTCCACTACACCATCTTGTGGACAAAAAAATACAAAACACTCTTAAAGTGGTTCTCACCCCCCTCCTCGGAGCTTACGTTACTCACATTTCCTGTTGAAATCTTCCTCTAAATGGGCGTAGCCTGGAGGACTAAAGGGGGCGTGAACGAGACTGGGCCGTTTACATTGCTCTGGGCGGGGGGCTGCTGACGTCAGGTCTTGCTTCAGACGTCAGGTCTTGCTTCAGACGTCAGGTCTTGCTGCCGCGCCAGTGTTGGCGCCAGATTCAAAATTCAAATGTAGTAATACAGGTCACCAGCAGATGGCGCCTCACAGACGGTTTTAGGCAGAAAGTTTAACTTTCAACTAATTTGCACCAAAGTGACAAGAGTATGACCAGGATATGTAGACAACACTATTGGACACTCATTTATACCGTTTATCAGCAAAAAAAAGTGGATTTGAGGGTGAGTTGTCCTTTAAGTGCTTACAATGAATGGTGGGGCCAAATATTAATATAATATTTACTATCTATGGTCTAAATATGTTGTGTTCGAAATGATGCTTTATGAACTATTTGAGGCTTTCAGTCAATTGTGTTGAAACAAAAACATATTGCATCCAAAATAATGCAGTTTTAAAAACAATTGAGGAAAAACTCTAATTAGGTGGACAAAAAAACTGTCCTAGATTACACAACAAACCCAGAAATTAAATATATTTATTTTTCAAATGCAAAACTAAATTTGCCTTTGATGGGATTTGAAACCAAAGGCAGTTGTTGGGGTCCAACAACTGCAGACTACGCCACGCAACTTTTACAAAAGTTGTGTTCCAATGTTTAATTATCTTAAACAAATGAAAGAAAGTGGGCCATTGAGGCAGGCCTGGATTTACGAAACTGAGGTTTTATTAAAGTGAGACGTTTTTCATTGTGGCCCCTGACGATTAGACCATTGGAGTCTAGTCGCCAGAGCTTATCAATAAATATAATAGTACTCAATCTAAGGATGCTGGGGTTCATTCATGCATCTGGACAATAAATATTCTAATGCAATCTTCGTCTTGAGTCTTTCCAGATTGAATTACCAGTATGTATTTTGTCTATTCTTGACAAGTGAAAAAGAGACCACCCTCGCTCGGCCATTCAGCGCCTAGCTCAAAGGTCAAATACTGAGTCTTTCTTACAAGTATGCAGACGATAACACGTGGATGCAGCATGATGAGGTCTGAACAACATTTTAGTTTTTCAAGTTGGGAAAAAACGATTATAAGATATGATAAGATACTTCTTGATTGCCTGCCTTAGGAGAAGTTCATCTTGGGACAGGGGTTCACATGCTTTACACCAATACATTTGCACTCACCACAGTAGACTTTAAACAGACCATAATAGACACAGGCAAGAGCACCATCAGAGACCTCTAGGACCAAAGAAAAAACGGTTAATAACAGGGCATCAAAACAGAGCACCCCAAAATCTTGCACTTCAGAAAACCTACAGTGCAAGTGCAATACTGTATTTTATTTCACTTTCCCAAAGCTTAAAGTGCTGTCTTTATTGCATGTTTCCAACTTCCAAAGTGCCTCAAGCCCATGCACCTGAGTTGCTTCCAGTGTCTTCAAACCTATTTCCTGCTCGAGCTCTCAGAGTTTATCAAATTAATCGCTAATGGTACAAATTAAAATCTAAATCAGTTTGATTTGCAGTTGGGAACTCTATACCTTCTCCCTGATGGCAGCATTACAAACTGACTGTGAAATGGGGGAAGTTACATACCCCAGCTTTAACATTCAATTACAAATGTAACTTTATTGCAGAAGAAACTTGTTTAGAGGCTCATGTGTTGGACCACAGCTTGACACTGCTTTATAGTACTGAGCAGGTTCAGTATTTGTATCCATGAGGTCATGAATTATTGCAGTGATCTGTATAAAGTTAAAGCGAGAACAACTCTAAACTATGAAACAATAATCACTATAAATTCTTTAATATTAATGTTGATTTGTTCTTCAAACACTTTATTCCAGGTAGTGTTAAGTTAGTTCACGGAGCTAATAGTCAAACAGCTGCTAGCTAAGTGTTGCTAGCTAATAAGATATGAGATATAAACCTATGTGTCACTATAAATAAACATTTTACTTGCCTCTTTAAACAGTGTGCTGGTAAAAAAAAAGTCAATCTTAGACCAAAAGTGTATTGTTGATTTCAAAGAAATAAAAGTTTTATAATTGTTTGTTGCGTTTGATGACTGAGCTGTCCATGGTAGCAGCGGCAGACTGCAGAGGCCCACCAGCAGAGGGAGCCATTATCCTAACATCAAATGTGCATGTGGAACTATGTCACCTTTTCAGATGTCCGAAATAAAATGTACAAGGATATTTAGAATGACTGCGGCTCGTACATGCGAGATGAGCACGCGCACCTGCCTCTTGTTGCTAGGTAGCGTTGCTAGGGCCAGTGCATCTTTTGAATCACTGCATCCGTGCAAAACTTTGGCTGAGACACAAACTCAATTTATCAAACTTCACTCGACGATTTCTTCAACCAGGAGACATCACTGCAGACCATTTCCACCCAGACTGCTGCTGACCCACTCCTGAGCACAACTACAAGACTTTTCTGAGGAAAAAACGTGAGCTTTTCCACTTTCCCTGTTCACCTTGGTCCCTATGGGTTTGGCCTGTGTCACTCACACACAGACAGTAGCACAATAGCAACAAAGATCACTTTGATCCGTGTCTAAAGCAGGTTTACTGTGAGTAGAATAATCATAATAAGTGTAAACAATGAAACATCCTCAAGCTTCATGAAACCTGTGCCTTAAACATGTTGAGGTTGAGTCTAAAGTGACAAACCCAGACCACAGGTTTCTGCTTCATAAAAACGTCTCCATCAGCCGCAGCAGTGATGTATCTACTGTTGTCTCTGATTACATTTCAGACAGTTCAGTTCAACAATTATTCTATCCATGGAGATTATGATCCATGTGATTATGAATTAGTCTGTTATTTAGAAGATGACTCACCCTGGCAGACCTGCCATATTCAGTGTAAATGGTTCTTGAACATCAAGAAGCGTGACTTTCAAAGCACAAAGTCTCAAACACATTCTTCCAACTCGTCCCTCGCTCTTAAACACTTTGGTTCTATCACTGGTTTTCACACGTCTGTGTTTTTGACTTTACAAAAGTGAATCAGAGAGGACCATCCTCTCTCAGCCAATCAGCACAAAGCATCAAATATGGACTCACACTGAGCTCTTTCTAAACAAAAGATGAAATGTTTACTAATATTTACTTTACTAAACACAATTTAACATTTATGACAAAAGAAAACAAATCTATTTGAAACTTGACTCTACTACTTTACTCTAATCAACTGATATGAACCACGTCAGACACAGACCTGCAGTGGTTTTTAGATCCATCCACGCTGGTGTCCTGAACCTCTGGCACAAACATAAAGCTCGTCCCCTTCTGTGTGAAAGCTCCTGTCTCAGTCCTGTAATAGTATGATGTCATCGTAGCACTAAGACAGCGAGCTCGTGTGATCGGGATCGACAGTGACCAAGACCAAATATTGGATCAACTCATCACATTTTTCATTGGTTTAAACTTCTCCAAAAACACTATTCTAGGCCAAAAATGTGAAGGTTTTAGTCCGACTGGACTTTTAGTTTACACCTTTAGTCCTTCTCAGGGGAGGCACAAGTATAGTCTTATGTACTGAGCCCTCTGATTGAAACCCCTGATCCACAGATGGATGAATAAATGGTGAAGAGAGTGAGGTGGAGCCGTTATTGATGAACTCGTCACATTTTCATGAGTTTCAACATTTCCCAAAACACGATGAATGGCCACAAATAATGCAGAAAGTTTCCTCTTGATCTCATGGAAAAGTGAAGCACATACGACAGAAAACCTTCAAAAGAAGCAATTTGACCTGTTTCTCCTCCACAGATCCTCCTGCTGCTCCTCCATCAGGCCTCCACACCTCCTGCTGAGGACTCCATCAGGCCTCCACACCTCCTGCTGAGGACTCTGCTTTTAAGCTAAGTCTCTCGCTCACACGATGCCTGGCAGCTCTGCCAAGTTTCCTCGTTCTGGGAGGGTCTCTCACTTCTCTTCTTCTTCTCTCCTCCCTCGCCCCTCTGCTCCTCCTGCTGCTCGCCCCTCTGCTCCTCCTGCTGCTCGCCCCTCTGCTCCTCCTGCTCCTCGCCCCTCTGCTCCTTCTGCTCCTCGCCCCTCTGCTCCTCCTGCTCCTCGCCCCTCTGCTCCTCCTGCTCCTCGCCCCTCTGCTCCTCCTGCTCCTCGCCCCTCTGCTCCTCCTGCTCCTCGCCCCTCTGCTCCTCCTGCTTCGCGCCCCTCTGCTCCTTCTGCTCCTTCTGCTCCTCCTGCTCCTCCTGCTAAGCGCTCTAAGCTTTCCGCTGCCACTTCTCGTAAGCAACGTAAGCTTACCTCTGTTCCTCTCGCTTGGCGCTCCTCTGCTCCTCCTGCTTGGCGCTTCTCTGCTCCTCCTACTTGGCGCTTAGCTGGTCCTCCAGCTAAGTCTTCCTCTGCTCCTCCTGCTAAGCTTTCCTCTGCTCCTCCTGCTAAGCCTTCCTCTGCCCCTCCTGCTAAGCTGTCCTCTTCTCCTTCTGCTTGGCTCCCTTCTGCTCCTCCTGCTAAGCCTTCCTCTTCTCCTCACTTTCGTAAGCGCAAACGAAAGTCTTCTCCTCCTCCTCCTCCTCCTGGTCCTCCTCCTGCTGACGCTGCTAGCCTCTCACACATTAAGCTAGCCCCTGTTGTCTCGCAGATGGAGCCTGCCCCGCTGTTCCCTGGACCTGTCCCGGACTGGGTGGTGCAGATGGAGGCGTACCTGCAGGAGCGGGAGCTGCCCTGGAAGGAGCAGAAAAGGTCATGTGAGCCGCAGAGGCCTGTTCCACCGATAACACACAAGTACTCCTTCTATTTTTAAGAACTGATCCTTTCTGTCTTTTGTTTCTTTGGAGGAGCAGAAGCAGAGCTGGGATCCTCAAGAGCTGTGTCTCGGTGAAGGGTTAAGTATCACTTTGTAAAAACTTGGTATATTTTTTGGATCCTCGTTTGATCCCCTTTGAAAAAACAAAAAACCCCAAAAAAAGTATTTTACTTACTTTAGTTTGTTAGTTATTGTTGTTGTTCATTTTTTGGATCCTTGTTTGATCCCCTTTGAAAAAAACAAAAAAACACAAAAAAATATTTTATAACTTAAGTTTGTCTTTGTTCTTGTGTTGTACATTTTTCGGATCCTGGTTTGATCCCCTTTAAAAAGAAAAATGTTTTTGTAAGATTGTGTGTGGATTGTTGTGGTGCTTAGCTTCTTTTGCAGGTGTCTTTGCTGTTCAGGGAAACAAGGTGAGTATTGATGAATTAAAGTCACATTACTTTAAGGAATCATGCATTTATTTATTGTTTCTGAGTTTCTTTAGACGGAAAGGAGGAAGTGTAAAAGACTGAAAATCACTCAAACAAAGAATATACAGCACAGGTACAGAAGTCTATTCTATCTGTACCTAGAGTCCAGGGAATGAAGTGAATGTGTTTTGTTCCTGTGAGGTCAGAGAGAGAGAGGAGAGAGAGGAGACGAGGAGCAGGAGGAGGAGCAGGAGGAGGAGCAGGAGGAGGAGCAGGAGGAGGAGGAGCAGGAGGAGGAGCAGGAGGAGCAGGAGGAGGAGCAGGAGGAGGAGGAGCAGGAGGAGCCTAATATCCTTGTTTTCATTTCAAACACAGGTAAATCATCATATGCATGTTTGGTTTGTCTCTGCTCACACTTCGTTACAAGAAGAACCATCTTTAACATCTTTCTAACTGGTTTATGTTCAACTGTGTTGAATATAAACCACTTTTATGCAGACGACTGTCACTCAAACCCACGGTTCGTCCACATCTTGTTATGTCTGAATGAGGGAGACAAAGGTGATGGTGTTTGGCAGCACTGAGCCCTCAGCGACAGGGGCCACTTCAGCAGCAGCCTCGCTGTCACTTTAGGGATTTTATATTTGACAAACAGGTGAACACGCAGACTCTGGCTTTTATCAGCTTTTATCCAAAGGGAAACCTTTACATTGTTTTTTAACGTGTGATGCACACTTTCCTCTTCTCTGGCTGGGACTATTGTTTGAATGGATTGGATCTTCCTTATGTGCTGAAAGAATGAAAGGGATTTGGATATGACCAACAAATACAACGTCACGGAAGGGTCCTCCACCTGTAACTTACATGTGTTTTGATTCTGATTGTCCTATGAATCCTTGTTTGTTTCATCTACAGAAGGTCAAGGTTTGCAGCGATACCTTTTGTCATTGTTCCGTGGAATGGACGATGGTGGACGATGGTGGACCATGTAACGGACAAAACCTTTCAAATGGACTCGTCCTCCTGCCCTGCATGTGCCCCAGACAGGGCTGTTGATGGAAACAGAAAACTATTGTTTGAATCAGCCTTCAAGGTAAAAAGAAAAAGACCTTTTAACGTAAATGTGTTTATTAAATATCCACAGCATGTGTATGCAGGACGACAGAATCTGCTTACTTTGAGAGAGTTTTTGTTTGCGGTGACCAGCAGGTGGCAGCAGCTGTAAAAGGAATCCACGCTACAAAAGTCATGTTCTGTATCAACTAAAAGTTCGGAGGAAGGCGGCCTCGAGGTTTACAGGCACAGTATACTTCTCAAGTCCCTCTCAAGGTTCATGTTTTTATCTTTCATTTCTATCTGTACCTTACCCCAGAGCTCTTCATCAGTTCCCATTTGCCCCTTACCTGAAATTAATTTGTGAAATAGGGGACCTTTTAGGAAGATATAAAAAATCTAATCCTCTGGAATTGAAAGTGAAAGTGGAGCAACTCTAGTGGAGCAACACTCGCAGTCCCAGATGGAGAGACTCCAGCGATAAAGGAGAGAAGCCTTTACCAGAGAGCAGGTATCTTATGTGGAACACAGATGTTCTTACAGCGATTATAGTTGAGCCAAATGCTGTTGAATGCACTGAATTCATTCTTTGCTCTCAACAGAAGCACTCAACAAAACCCTGGAACAAAAGTCCACCCCCTCAAGAAGACCAGATGCTGAAGCTGTCTTCAGAAAGATCAGTCAGATCTGAGTAGAATCAACGTAGGCAAAAGGCCGGATGCAGACTAAACACAGGTGTGTACTGAAAGGTTGTGCTGATGAACTCTTCACATTGACATGTTGAACTCATCTCTGCAGCTGTGGTCCCAACGCACCTCAAAGACACCATCATCATTCCAGCACCAAAGAAGTCCCACCCTCCAGCTTCAAGGATTACAGCCCAGTCGCACTCACTCGGATGGACCACATCAAGTCTGTTCTCCCACCAACCCTGAACCCAGACCAGTTTGACCAGTGCTTATCGGAGAAATGGCTCAACTGGAGATGCCATCTGTGCTTCATACAGCCCTCACTCACCTTGAAACTAAAGACTCCTATGTTAGAATGCTCTTTGAAGACTTCAGCTCAGCATTCAACACTAGAATACCCTTTCTGATGGGAGACCAGCGGCTGTACTGAAAGTCCTCCAGAACCATCAGACTGAGCAAAGGGACTCCCCAAGGCTGTGTGCTGAGCCCACTCCCATAACAGCCCCTCAAAGTAATGCCTTCAGGAGGAGACTGGGAAATCCACGGCACAGGTCCAGTCGACTGAAGAAGCGTTTTATCCACAAGAAGCTGGACTCCCTTCTTTACTTGCCCTCCCTTTGCCCCCACACTTCACTCCCCACCCCCACTCTATCATCAAGGATGACAAACATGACAATAAATCTTTGAGTGTCTTAATACTTGTAAGTTAGTCTTCATATTGTGTTTAGGTCAATGTTTTAAATCAGGAAACATTGAGCAAACATTATCCCCAATCATAAAACACACTTTTTTACCTTCCAACATTAAAAAAAGAGAGAGAAAGCCTTCATTATTTCAAACAGGGCCTCTTGTCAATAAAATATGGGTTAAATACATCAAGAGTCTGTAAAACTGTCAGCTTCCATTTATTTGGATCAATGCATGAACTGCTCTCAGCTTTAAGTGCATCAATAAACATTTGTTTGGTAAAAATAACATCATATAAGCTTGATAATCTAAAGAGACACTTTTTTTTTAGCATCAGGGAGCTCTCAAAAAGACTCCCTGTGTTTGATGCTCTATTCTAGGCTCAACACTTGCTGTTAGGTTAAGCATCAACAAACAGACCTCTGACATGACAACTGAGGGTAAAATATTATGATAAGTAATGTTTACGTCCTCATTAAGGTGCCCCGTGATCCATGCTTATATATATAAATATTTTTTTTTAAATGGTCCACTCACCTTTGGCCCTCCGCGGACGGTTATCCCTCTCTAAGCTCGGGTCCTCTACCAGAGGCCTGGGAGCTTGAGGGTTCTGCGCAGTATCTTTGCCGTTCCACTGCACATTTCTGGACCGAGATGTCCGAGGTTGTTCCGGGGATCCGCTGTAACCACTCCTCTAGCTTCGGGGTCACTGCCCCGAGTGCACCGATCACCACGGGCACTGCTGTCACCTTTACCCTCCAGGCCCTCTCCAGCTCCTCTCTGAGACCTTGGTATTTCTCAAGCTTTTCATGTTCCTTTTTCCGGATGTTACCATCGCTTGGAATTGCCGCGTCCACCACCACGGCTGTCCTCTGCCCTTTGTCCACCACCACAATGTCAGGTTGGTTCGCCATTACCATTCGGTCGGTCTGTATCTGGAAGTCCCACAGGATCTTTGCACGCTCATTCTCCACCACCTTTGGAGGAGTTTCCCACTTAGACCTTGGGGTTTCCAGCCCATACTCTGCACAGATGTTTCTGTACACTATGCCAGCCACTTGGTTATGGCGTTCCATGTAGGCCTTCCCTGCCAGCATCTTGCACCCTGCAGTTATGTGTTGGATCATCTCAGGTGCCTCTTTGCACAACCGACACCTTGGGCCTTGTCTGGTGTGGTATATCTGGGCCTCTATCGCTCTGGGGCTCAGTGCCTGCTCCTGTGCAGCCATGATGAGTGCCTCTGTGCTGTCCTGTAGGCCAGCCCTTTCTAGCCATTGGTAGGACTTCTTGAGATCAGCCACTTCTGTTATGCTCCGGTGGTACATGCCGTGTAGGGGCTTGTTCTTCCATGATGGGCTCTCCTCCAGCACCTCCTCATCTCGCCACTGCCTGAGACATTCACTGAGTACGTCATCCGTTTTGGCCTTCTCCATGATGTAGTTATGGAGTTTGGATGTTTCGTCCTGGACAGTGGCTCTCACACTCACTAGTCCTCGGCCTCCTTCTTTACGGCTTACGTACAGTCTCAGGGTGCTGGATTTGGGATGGAACCCGCCATGCATGGTAAGGAGCTTTCGAGTTTTAACATCCGTGGTCTGAATCTCTTCCTTTGGCCACCTGCTTATTCCTGCAGGGTATCTGATCACTGGCAGGGCGTAGCTGTTAATTGCCCAGGCCTTGTTCTTAGGACCTGCCTTACTGGCTGGAGGTATTTGGCAGTTGCCGCTTTCCTCGTCACCTGTTCGAGGTTGCCATTTGCCTGTGGTATACCGAGATACTTGTAACTGTCCTCAACGTCTGCTATTGTTCCCTCTGGGAGTGAGATCCCTTCTGTGTGGACTACCTTGCCTCTCCAAGTCACCATCCTGCTACATTTCTTGAGTCCGAATGACATCCCGATGTTATGGCTGTAGATCCTGGTTGTTTGGATCAGAGAGTCGATGTCTCTCTCGCTCTTGGCGTACAGCTTGATGTCATCGATGTAGAGGAGGTGACTGATCTTTGCTCCGTTCCTGAGGCGGTATCCATCGCCAGTCGGGTCAATTACTTGGCTTAGAGGGTTGAGGCCTATGCAGAACAGTAGTGGGGACAGAGCATCTCCTTGGTAGATACCACATTTGATGGTCACTTGTATATATATATATATATATAT